TTCTGTTATTCTGTAAGTCGGAATTGCTCTTAGTAAGCACACAGATAGATTTTCTCCCAATCTCTGTCCCAGCCTGGCTCTACAAACCTTCCAAGAAGGCAACCAATGGCTGCTGTAATTGAGTCCATTCACATTTGTTGATTGCTTCTTCTCTTTCCTTTTATGAAGATGCTGTCTCAAATATGCAAGCATGATTTTAATTTTATGTGTTCTTCATACATGCATGTCTTCACTGTACTGGTGTTTTATTTAAATTCACCTGTTTTTGCATTTTATGAGGGTGAGAATGAGGCCAATGGGGAAATACAGGAAAATATTTTTTCCTGATTTTTCCCCTTGAATGTATTCATTAATTTTGCAGATTCTTTTCAAAATACTAATTTGGTAATATTTCACAATCAAAATGAAAAGGGACAGAGCAGCTTTTTGAGATTTTAGAAGGAAAATAAGGGACTGAAGTTGAAATAGTGTAATTATTTTGAATCAATTTATGTCTGTTGCCACCTAGTGGCCAAAGGCTTTAACATTTTGAATAACAGGAATACAGTACTGTTAAATATGCCACTTGACGGCAAGTTAGCCCACTCCTATTTTAAACTTGATAGATTTATGTCTTTGTTAAGTGTAAATAAACTGTTGTTAGCTGACCTATTTTTTGATACAGCTTTCAAAATATTTCCAAGAGCGTACTGCATTAGTACTACGCAATGGCCCTCCTTTGCAGCACAGGGCCAATCTCTTCTCAATTCCAGTGTTTTAAAAATCAGAATATTTAAATATTAGACAATTAGAATATAGAATTTGCAAAATGCTTTCTTTTAGTTGTTGTTTGTTACATCAATGGGTACTGAGCATGATTCTTTTCATAGTGCATAAAGCCTTTTACAAAAATTGACTTTTTCACAATTCAAGTCAACTGTTACTGTAAGTAATGTTGTCTTTTAAATATTTTATGTTTATTTACATGTGTGTGTGTGTGTGTGTTGTAATCAAAAGACAGATGTAAAATTAATTAACTACAGTGGATTAATATATGACATACTGTACTGAAACCACAGGAAAATATTATCAAATCTGTGAAATACATTAACCTTTTTCAGAATAGTTTCCTTTCTTAAACAGGAGGTGTCACCATTTTCATTCCATCTGAAAATAAGGTTAGAAACATGTACAAAATATGAAATTTTATTAGAAAATGGCAGTGAGATCAGATGCCAATATTGGAAACACCTTAATAACTTCTAATGCATAAGTCATAGTCCATGCTAACTAAAGAATGATAGAATGTTTGTTTTATTTATACGTCACATATGAAAATATTTTTGTCTTTTTTGAAAGACAAAACAAAAAATAGATCACCCCGAACTTGTAACAATACAAAGTTAAAACGAAAAGCAACAGAAAACAAATGTAATATTTAAGAATACTAATTTACAGTAAATTTATGTATTTATGCATTTAATCTACCTTTCTAACTTTCTATCAATCTTGGGAAAATACAGAAGTACATTAAACATATCTACACTATCTCTGCTCAGAATAAGAAAGGCAATCTATGTTATTGACTTTTTAAACTTAACTAGCTAAAACAATATCACCAGGTTCAAGTGAGTCTGTTTTCATAGAATAGCAAATATGAACAGGCCACTTTGGCCATTGAGTACATCTGTTTCTTTTTTTAAATATAATTTAATTAAGGAGTACATTAACAAGTAAAATTAATGCAACATAGTACAAAAATATAAAAATATGTGTACTGGTGGGAATATGGGAATATAAAAGAAAAAACTGGGAATATGGGAAATTAAAAGAAAAATAAATATGGGAAATTAAAAGAAAAAACTACAGAAGAAAAAAACAAAAAGGAAAAAAGCAAAGAATAGAAGAGTAAATTTCTCTAAACACTCCAAGTTTAGGGAACAAACAGGATGAACTTGAAATACTATTATAAGAGGGCAAGTATGATATAGTTGCCATTACAGAAACTTGGATAGAAGGATGCAAACTATTCAAAATATGACCAGAATTCAATATAAAACAAACACAAACAACAGAACATAACGAAACCAGTGTCTTAGACTTTAAAAGTCTAGGCAAACCTTACTCAACGAGTAGTCCTTAATGGGTCTAAGTCTACATGGAGGGAAGTAAGCAGTGGAGTGCCACAAGGTTCTGTCTTAGACCCAGTACTCTTCATTATTCTTCATTAACAACTTAGATGAGAGAATAGAAGGGGAACTTACCAAATTTGCAGATCATACTAAGCTGGCAGGAATAACTAACACCCAAGAAGATAGGCTCAAGATCCAGATGGATCTTGACAGACTAGAACACTGGGCCATATCTAACAAAATGAAATTCAATGTAGAGAAAAGTAAAGACCTACACTTAGGCAAGAAAATCCCAGAGTACAAATATAGACTGGGTGAAACCAGGCTCAATAGCAGTAACTGTGAGAGGGATCTTGGAGTCTTAGTGGACAACCAGCTAAATATGAGCCAGAAGTGTGCAGCAGCAGCCAAAAAAGCTAATGCAATCCTAAATTGTATTAACAGAAGGATACAATCAAGGTCAAGGGAAGTATTAATACCACACTGTAAAGCCTTAGTAAGACCACACCTAGAGTACTGCATCCAGTTTTGTTCACCACATTATGAAAAAGATGTTGAGACTCTAGAAAAAGTACAGAGAAGAGCAACCAGGATGATTAGGGGACTCGAGGCTAAAACATACAATGAACGTTTGCAGAACCTAGGCTTGGCTAGTCTAGTGAAGAGAAGGACCAGGGGAGACATGATAGCAGTCTTCCAATATTTGAGGGGCTGCCACAGGGAGGAAGGGGTCAAGCTATTTTCTAAAGTGCCTGTAGGCCAGACAAGGAATAATGGATGGAAACTGAACAAGGAGAGATTTAACCTGGGAATAAGATGAAACTTTCTGACAATGAGAACAATCAACTAATGGAACAGCTTGCCCTTGGAAGTTGTAGGAGCACCATCACTTGAGACTTTCAAGAAGAGATTGGACTGCCATTTGTCAAAAATGGTGTAGGGTCTCCCGCTTGAGCGGGGGGTTGGACTAGATGACCTAAAAGGTCCCTTCCAACTCTGATGATCTGAATCTGAATCTGAATCTGAAAAAGAGCTGATTTTAACAAACTCAGAGTGAGCTTGGGAAGGATTTCATGGATGAAAACTTAAAGGGGAAATCAATTCGAGAAGCTTGGGAAACTTTGAAATACACAGTTAAAAAAGCCCGGTCAAGTTCAATACCACTGAAAAAAAGAAAAAACAGCATCGTTACACAAAGAACTCACAGACCAATCAAGAGAAAAAAGGATTAGTCCAAAAAAATGGAAAGAGGAACACAGAACTAAGGCAGGATACCAACAAAGAGCCTGAACCTGCAAAGATGAAGTTAGGAAAGTTAAGGCTTTGAACAAAGTAAGACTTCCAACAAATGTCAAAAACAATAAAAGAAGTTTCTTTCAACCCATAAAAAACATGAAAAGGGTTAAAGAAATTATCTGTCCACTAACAGGAGAAGATGGCAAAGAAGTAACAGGCAATAGAAAGAGCGCAGAACTATTTAATTTTTACTTTGCATCTGTCTTCACACAAAAAGAAAACACAACTCAATTTACCAAAAACAGAACTGTATATGACAGATTAGGAATGCAAATTTAAATATGCAATAATAAGGTAAAAGAACACCTGTCAGTTCTAGATGGATTCAAATAGTCAAATTCATGTAGTAGTCTAGTCTAGTCTAGTCTAATGTGGCAAGTTGTCCCATCCCAGTTTTGGTTGGATGGAGTCGATGAGATCATGAAAAAGAGAGACATGAGTATTTTATTTGACATACTGTTTCATGTTCCTTTTCTGTGCCCTGCATAATGGTGATTATTCTCAAAAGGAGCAAAATGATGCAGTATAAAGTGAAGTCATTTCCAACTATTATTTAAACATGAGGTTGATTTGATGTTTTCAAATAGACTGGGCAAACATTTGATTGGATCAGTTTAAGACTCCTGCCTTGAGTAGGGTGGTTGGACTAGAACAGTCATCAGCTCTATGATTCTATGAAGAAGTATAGATACTGTAACTAAAAAAAGCTCATCAAAGAAATTAATTCAGTGCTGGGATGCTATTAGAAAAAGTTTTTCTTACATTTCACCATTAAGTCTCTCCAGATTATTTTATGTACAGAACAAATTTTTCATAGTTCTAAAAGTTATTAGTATTTTGAATTGCCCTGCACTCGTGCAGTTTTCTCGGCAGCCATATAGAAGTAGATTTAGCTACTTTATTCAGGGAAGGTTTTTTTTTTTTTGAAACCTTCACATGCTGTAACTAAATCATCACTTACAGAGCTAGTACTAGAAAAAAATAACCTTACATCTGAATGAACAAAAATATGAAAATAACCAAATGACAGCAACGATTGCATTCCAACAACTGGATATTTAGATTTATGGATTTTAGAAACAAGCTTTCCTAATTTTAAAAATAATAATTTTTATTTAGATATACTGTTTATGATGTAACAATATCCGGGTCGCAACCTTTCAATGCAAAGGAAAATGAACGTAGCTGAACAAGCTGCTGAAGTATTCCCCTACGCTACGGCAAAAAAACCACAAAAAAACAACTAATGAATTCAGGGTGAACACTTACGTATTGTATTTGGATGAGCATTAAAAACCTATTTGTTTTTTGATGGGGGGGCTTCAAACAGAGGAGCAACAGATAAGTGGTCTAGAGCCTCCTTGATAACTGATGGAGAGGTGACCGTATCAAACCGATCAAACCCACGTTTAACCTTTAAAATTGCACCCCAATGAAGTCTCCTGCAGGGTACTGACTACAGAGGTAGCGAGGATAGAGCGGCGCCGACTCAATCATCCCGTTAACGGAAGTTCTTGCTAGCCTGACAGCGCGAATGCCCGCAAAGGATGGCCGGGCGGTTCCCAGGGGCAACCCAAGAACGCGTCGGGGCGGAGCTGCTGTCGGGAACAACATGGAGGAAGCGACGACCATAGAAGGCACCTTCTGCTTACAGCGTATCCTTGGTTTTTTTCCTTCGCCCGTCCTGGAGGGGTCGGGGATGGTGGGGTGTTTCAGGAGGCTTGGAGAAGAGTTGGGTTCCCAAATCGCGCTCTTTGCCTGTAAATCTAACAAGACTCGAGACGTGATTTCCAATTAGAAGGATAACGCCTTGGGCTCCGTGATTACGCTTTGTACGCCAGCTTCTTGGGAGCGTATGCTCGTCCCGCTGCAGACAGGGAGATTCTGAGTAGAAACCTACTTGGATTGGGCTGTTTGTATCTTGAAACAATGTACGTCTTCTCTAAAGTGGTAAAAGAAGGGTAATATCCAAATACCTTACATATTAAAGATGATTTTTACAAAAAGGAAAATATGATCTTGCCTACATTAAATGAACAGATTTTAAAAGTAAACAATATAAATACTTCAGTATATGAATCTGGCACATTTTTTAAAATTACTCTTTTTGAAATGAACATCCAAGGTAGTTTATATAGTTACAGAGCTATATAAATCTGACAAACTTTTTTTTTCAACTTTCAAACTTCAACCAAACCTGTAAAACTATATGCTTTCCCTGTAGATTGTAGACCCTGTTGAAAGTGAATAGACAGAATGCACTATTTAGGATTTTTTTTAAAAAAAAAATCTCCATTTTCCAGATTGCTTTTTTATACAAAAGCTGAGAGAGGGCAGTAGTTTCTATGACAACTGTTAAAAGCATTTTATAGAATTGTGCAGTGCACTATGATGCAGGTTTACTTTTTTCCTTCTGCTGCTTTGGTGAAGTAATGGAGGAATAAAAGGATTCCACTGAAGCTTCAGGCATTTCCTTTGGGAAAAGTTGCCATGTATGATGAATACATGCTTTAGTTTTTCTGCATTAGTTTGTTATTCAAATTGCAAAGTCTGTTTTTCAGAAAATAACCCAGAATATTCACCAGATCTTTTGATTCTTTAAGAGGTGGGTAGGCTACATTAATGAACTTTATATCAGTTCAGATGAGCCAATATTTATCCAGTTTACCAGCCTTCTGATTCTGACAGAGAGATAGTAATGTTTCATCATAATATCCTCTTTATATTACAGGATCAAACCATGCACACATCTTCTGCAGTATATGTTGTGCAAGTGGTATGTGAAAATACCTAGATGTTGTCACGGTTGTCCAGGAGCGCACTCATAATATTGAAATCCTCAAGGAATATTTTTCTTACCTCCAGCAGTTCAAACAGAGGCTGAATGGCAAATAGGTAGATGGTAAATCAACTGAATCCTCGAACAGCTTGGTGGTCTTCTAGTCCAACCCCTCCCCATGGCACGGGTATATCCTATATCCATGATGGCAAACCTATGGCACGGGTGCCAGAGCCCTCTCTGTGGGCACGTGAGCTGTCTCCCCAGCTCAGCTCCGCCACACATGTACTTGCACCTACCACTGGCCAGCTGGTCTTTGGATCTCTGCTGTGCATGCGGGGCGCATGCACTGGGGGATGTGCATGTATTGCATTTTGGGGATGCGCGCGCGTTTTGGATATTCGGTGCTGAAAAGGTTAGCCTGCGCTGTTGTATACCATTCTGGATGTTCTTTGGACTTGATGGGGAGGGGGGGGGGATACATGTGATCATAGAAAGAATAACAGAAAAACATAACAGATTATTGATTATGGGGGAGGGGATGCTGGAGGTCTTCTAATCCAATTCCCCACGCAAGCAGGAGATCCTAAACCATTTCCAGACAACTGGCTGTCCAATCTCTTCTTAAAAACCTCCAGTGATTGAGCACCCACAAAAATCTGAAAATGGAAGTACAAAAATGTATATAGAAAAAGAAAAAAGGGAAACAAAAATGGAAAATGAAGTGGCTGCAAAAAAAAAGCCCAGTATGACCTATATGAAAAAAAATGAAGATAGATTAATTTAAAAAGATAATCAGTTGAAAGAAGATATAAGGAAGATAATGCAAATGGGCATTTTTTTTGTAAAAACCTGAAAAAAACCACAGAAACATATGAGGTACAATAACAGAAATCATGGCAACAGATGCTTGATAGAGTGATTAAATGAAAAGTTAACAGATAACAGATTGAGTTGGAAGAGACCTTGTAGGTCATCTAGTCCAATCCCCACCTAAGCAGGAGACCCTACACTATTTTTGATAGATGGCACTCTAGTCTCTGCTAGAAAGCTTCCAGTGATGAAGCTCCCACAACTTCAGAAGGCAAGCTGTTCCATTGGTTGATTGCTCTCGCTGTCATAAAATTCCTCCTTATTTCTAGGTTGAATCTCTTCTTGATCACTTTCCATCCATTATTCCTTGTCTGGCCTTCAGGTGCTCTGGAAAATAGCTTGACCCCGTCCTCTCTGTGGCAGCCCCTCAAATATTGGAAGACTGCTATCATGTCTCCCCTGGTCCTTCTCTTCACTAGACTAGCCATGCCCAGTTCCTGTAACTGTTCATCATGTTTTAGCCTCCAGGCCCCTAATCATCTTGGTTGCTCTTCTCTGCACTTTTTCTAGTGTCTCAACATCTTTTTTATGGTATGGTGACCGAAACTGGATGCAGTATTCTAGGCGTGGTCTTACTAAGGCTTCACTTGATCTTGATTGTATCTCTCTGTTAATACAATTTAGGATTACATTGGCTTTTTTGGCTGCTGCCATACACAGTTGGTTCATATTTCATTCGTTGTCCACTAAGACTCCAAGATCCCTCTCACAGTTACTGCTGTTGAGCCTGGTTTCACCCATTCTATATGTGTACTTTTGGGTTTTTTTGCCTAAGTGCAAGACTTTACTTTTCTCTACATTGAATTTCCTTTTGTTCGATAGGGCCCAGAGATTAAGTCTGTCAAGATCCATCTGGATCTTGAGCCTATCATCTAGAGTGTTGGCTATTCCAGCTTAGTATCATCTGCAAATTTGGTAACTTCCCCTTCTGCTCCCTCATCGTAAATCGTTTATGAAGATACTGAAGAGTACTGGGCCTAAGTTGGAACCTTGTGATACCTCACTGTTTACTTCCCATCACGTAGACTAGTACCATGAAGGACTACTCATTGATTACAGTTTGTCAGCCAGTTACAAAACCATCTTGTGGTGATGCTATCTATCCCATTTTTTTCTAGCTTACTAAGAAGTAGGCTGTGGTCTACTTTGTTGAATGCCTTGCTGAAGTCTAAGTATATTATGTCCACAGTATTTCACTGGTCCACTAATTTGTAAAAAAAACCAAATGTACATGATTGCTGCAATAATAAGGATGAAAGAAAGTTATTGCTTTATGGATACAATGAGAAAAAGATACTTTCAAATTATGAAATCAAATATATAAATAAATAGGATTCAAAGAGGCTGAGAAAATAAGAGATTTGGTTTACAGTATGGGAAACTATTACTTTTTTTTTACAGTGTAAGCTCTATTGCAAAATATAAATATGTGCAATGATACCCTAATAACAATCAAATTGATTTTGGGGACCAAACTGAAATTTACTTCAAACATTAAAATCATAATGTCTCCTTGAAAATCAGCAAAAATCTTGATATGTATTGTAACTGTAGAGTTATTTGGAGTGAACGAAGCAAAAAATAAAAAGGCTTCAACATCCAAATTTACCCACTGATAGCAGTGCCTTCTACTGATTTTGAACAAATGCTTATCATATCTCTAAGAAAGAAAGCTAGCGAATATCAGTGAAATTTCTGAAATTCTGCAATGTATTACTTCAAAATCTTTCTGCCAGAATATTGTGATTTAAGTACCTATTTCTATTTCCTCTTTAATCCTTTCTATCATGGCATTTTCCTACTTGAAATGTTTGGATAAAAATGTAATTATTCCTTCATTCCCGTATATCCATAAATGAATACTAGTGTTTTATATATATTTACATTTGGGCTTGGTCTGCTTTAAAAGAAAATACTTTTAAGATATTATTTGAATTGAACCCTAATTAGCCTAATTCAGTTCTGTTCAGGTTTTGAGCAAACCATATCTTTAAAGTTATGTAGAATTTCATTGGTACTATTTGTGCAGTTACTATCCATGTCCGTGGCTTGTGCAAAATAACTAATTAATGTGGTCATAGTGGTTGCTTTTGTTAACTTTACACGGTCAGGTATCATTATTTTCTGATCTGAATACATTTTTTTCCATTTATTCTGTTCCCAGCACTCTGAAAACTATTTGGAAATAAAAAGAAATATATCAAGTGTCTACTATTCAGGGAGAGGCATAGTGGGAGTCATGAATATACTACTAAAACTCTTGTCATGATCTTTAACTGAGAGAAATGGTCTATCACACGGCAACAGTTTTTGAACCCATATACCTCAAATGGCCTAAGATACAGAATGTGCTCAAAATCTGAGACTCATGGCTTCCAAATGAAATTTGGAAAAATTGTGATGCTTCCGTCCTACTGGCAGCTGCTCTGTTGCTGGACTGCTCCTTCAGTCACATGATCTTCATTTTCAATGTTCTGTGAAAGTTTTCCAGCCGTCTCACACTCACCTGTTCTCTCTCCCCCACCCAACAGCAGATACCTGTCTGCTGGGAAGGGAAGGGAAGGGGAAAAAGGAAGGAAAAGAGGGAAGAATAGTGAGGAAAAAACCCTTGTATAACCTTCCCAGCACATGCCACTCCCCTGTGCACTCCAATGATGTGTGATGTTCCCCGCTCCATGCAGCACCTCTTGCATGCCCCTATGCACTCTTCCCAGTCTGTGCTGCTCCACGTACACTATCCCTGACTCACATAACACCTCTTGTATACCCTCATGATCTTCATCAACATGCACTCCTCCAGTGTTCCTTTCCTGACCCATGTAAAACCTCTTGGGAACCCACACATACTCTTCTCAACCTATGCTAACCCTTTCACGCTGTCTATGACCTGCACAGTACCTCTCATACTGTCAGCTCTGCCTGGCTGATCTTGGGGGCGGGGGGGGGGGGGGGGGCCCCCGGCATCCTGCCATCAAAAGAAGAAGGGGGGGGGAGAATAAAAGGAGGAAAAAGGGGAGGAAGGATGAAAGGGCAATAAAGCTTTGTGATAAGAAATCGGGAGGGGAGAATGACAAGTGATAAGGACCAGAGCAGCCAGATCCTGTTTAAACCAGCATCCCATGGTCGGGCACTCTGAGAAATATGCGGATGACTTCCAAACATCTCAGTTTTCAAAACATCTTGGCGAGCTCCAGTTGGCTGGAAATGGACTGGTCATGGGGGGAGGGATGGGCTAGGGGCAAACCTACACCTTATTTTTGTATCCAGCAAGCATGGTAATTTCAGAGCTGGCTTTACTTTATTGCAATCAACACTCTTAGCAAAAGAACAGGATCACATTGCTGCTGCTCTGACATGTGACCAATGTGACCTTGTAAATTTTTCTTGATTCATGTCACCCTCAGCACTCTTCTTGACCCAAGCTGACTCATTCCACACAGCACCTCTTGTACATCTCAGGAAGCCTTCCTGACCTATGCCGCCCTGTCTCCACAACACTCCCTGACTTACTTGAAATCTGGCACACACCCACAAACTTTTTCCAACTCATATGGCACTGCTTGTGCATCCCCATGTTGTAACATCCAGCCCCCTGCATCCTTACCCTTTCCTCCACCCAGCAGCAACCACTTACCTGCCTGTTGTCTTTGGATTTGCAATTTCCTGCTGGCTTCCCCATTGCCTTTCTCTTTACAAGTTTCCCACAAACGAAGCTACAGGAATTCTAAGGAGAGAGGGAGGAGGATGAATTGAGAATGGGAGGAAGGGAAGGAAGGGAGAGAGGGAATGTGACTGGAAGGGAAGGGAAGGAAGGGAGAAGGAGGCAGGAAAGGAAGGAAGGGCGAGGGAGAAAGGGAAGGCAGGAAAGAAGGAAGGAATTATGAAGAAAATCTTAACAAATACTAAAATTAACAATGGAAATATTTCATTAATTTTAAAAGTATGTTTTTTTAAAATCATGAAAAATAATTGCAGGAGCATGTAGTTGTTGAATAATTACAGATAAACCATGAGAGCTTAAAGCATAGTGGAGATGAGAATAGAATCTAATTTAGCATTTCTGGAGAAGATTTTAAATTTAAATGTTTGAAAAAATGAAGTTAGAACTGATTAGATTATGTTCATAAATTAGGGTTAGGATTTATTTTATTTTATTTATTTATTAAATTTCTTTGCCACCCATCTCACCAGAATGAGTGGCTAAATTAATTTTAGTATTAGTAGTCAAATATTTATACAAAATGAATACATTGCCTTAAAATAGCATTCTGAACACATATCAGATATAATATTAAATCATGTTGTAACCAATACAATTTCATATTGTAGACTTAACTAAACATGCAGAGGTTACAATAACTGAAAGTTCTGAAGATGACTATCAATATGAAGAGGTAAGAACATAAAGTAGCACTTTATGCATATGAAGCTTCAATCCACTCTCTGATCTTGCTAAATTAATCCTATCTTGATAAATTAATAGTAAATAGATCTCCCTCTCCATATAAAATTAGTGTTATGAAGTTGACATGTATTTCCTGTTCTAATTGGAAATGGCTTTTTAAGACTTTTTTATCAATGTGAACATTTTAGTAATCTTCAACCTTATACAGAAGGATAAGAAAGGGAAAAACATATCAGCAGTTGTTATGTGTATCTAAAGATGACCGCTGAGCATTTAATGTTTACATATGGAAAGGTAGTATCAGTGGGGAAATGGAATTTAATTGCTATTAAAATGTCATTATTGTCAATACTTTTGTTAATGTATTTGTTAATAAAATATAATAGTAAATTATTGAGAAATTTTAATTTGTGGCAAAAGATTAATTTGCTTATATGTGAAGATAAGCTGATGAGGATTCAACGATGCTAAATGCAAGCTGGGAAACAAATAGGTGGCTTGTCAATTCACCACCTTGAATCCTATTACCAAGCCACATTATCAAAATGAATATTTTAGTATCACTATCTAAATTAGAATTATTCAACTCTGAAACTGGAGGAGTTTAATATGAATGGGCAAGGAAAATAGACCATTTCACTAATGGAAAAACTAATTTATTTATTTATTTATTTTTATTTGTTAATTGCTTACAAGATAATAGGTATAAGTAAAAACATAGTTATGAATACATGGATACATATAAGAAAAATAAAAAAAATATATAAAAGAAACAATAGGACAGGGATGGTAGGCACATTGGTGTGCTTATGCATGCCCCCTTCTGGAATAATTCTGGAATAAAATTAGGGAGAGCATGAACCCTGAGGTTTTCCTGTTAGAATAGTAATTAAGCATGAGAATTTTGATTAGACTCATCAGATTTCAGAGCCCAGGACCAATATAAATTGGACAGGATTATTTCTTTTTACAGAATTCTATTTTTTTTTCACAGCAATTTGGCCTTCATAATGGAAGTCAAGCACTCACTTTGGTTTTGGTGTCTACAAATTAAAGAGTTCCAAAATTGGAATAAATAAGAATTTTTCAGTGTTTGCTCAACGGAAAGCTATTATTAATATGCCAATAATAAAAATATTGATTGATTAAATTATATGACAAGAAAGATGTTCAAGGGTAAATCTAATTTTATCAAATTAATGGGAAAACACGGTAGGAAGAAATTTCTCAATCTGTTAAAAATCAGTAAAAAATTTACTCGATGAAGAAAATAATGATAAGTAAGCAGAAAAATACAATTCTTCATGGTATTTTATGTTTGAATCATATCTACTCAACTGCAAAATTCAAATGCTGAGTATGTCAAGCTTGCAGAGCTCAGATTCTTCATATATTACAGATTTGTAATATACATTATTACAAATATATATTATTTGTAATGTCCAAATTTTTGTTGCATATACAAACAATTGTTGCATAGCTATTATGAATGCAGTTTGTAATATAGCATGGAAAAATCCAATTTCAACCTGTATGATCATTAATTTTAATAGATTCTAAAAGAACTCAAACCTCAAAATAATGTTGATCATGATTTTTTAGAAAAATCAAGGTTGACAGATCAAAAGGGGAGATTTATTTGTTTTGAGCTTTGAATCAAAAAGGCTTCCATCAGAATCCTTAATTAGAATATTCTACATTAGCCATGTTTCATACAAAACTGGAAAAAAATTCAAGTGGTTCTTTCCCCCCCATATGGAATAGTGTTTTTTATGTTCAAATTCAAGGAGTTTTAGATGTATTGGGAACATTAGGAACTCAAAACATTGGGAATTCCTACTTTCTTATTTTTCATCCTTAGGCTACAAATGGTGGGAAGCTATTGCATAGTCATTATTGCTTACCATCCAAACAGCAGACAACTTGGTCAGGACTTTTTCTTTTTAAAACAGCATGCAACCTGAAATCTGTCAGAAACAACATATCCAAAAAGAAAAGCAACATAGGATTTAACAAGCAGCTTAAATCCTCAACATCAGTAAAAGCATTCACAAATGGCAGACTCCAAAACTCATTCAATAAATAAAAATATATACATTCCACATGTTTTAGGTAACAGGCAGGTGGTAGCAAAGATGGTTTAGTTTTTTAATATCAAAATTAAAAAAACACTGAAACAAACTTAATGATCTTATGGAAAAAGAAGAAATGTTTACAAGAGTAAAATTACGTTTGATATGTTTGGTGGCATCACTTTTTTTAACTTATTAAAATTCTAGGCTACCCATCTTCCTTTCAAGGTGATTCTCTTTTCCTTCTTTGCTGTTTACATTATTTTTAAAACTTAAAACAAACTTCTCTCTTATTGATGGTGCAGTTCCAGGATTGGCATAATTTTGGAAATTTATTTTAGAGGTCTGAAGTTTCACTGGATTTCTTTTCTGGCAGGTTTTGGCTATTCATTATTTTTTCAGTGACAAAAACAGGCTGCACAAGTTGCCAAATGCAAACATCTTCTCTTTTACATAAATAAACTCTAAATATAATCTTCCCTGTTTAGAAATTGCTTTCCTGGATTCCAGACAAAGAATCTTTCCTAGATCAGACATTTATATCTTATTTGAGCAACATATTAGAGCAGGGGCATCAAACTCATGTCGTCATGGCAGCATCACGTGATGTAGCATAACTTTTCCCCCCTTTGTTAAGCTGGCCGTGGATGTGGCCAGTGCGTGATGCCTTTGGCCCGCGGGCCATGAGATTGACAGCCCTGTGCTAGAGCCTGAAGCTGAATTCTAACATTCACAGAATGATACCTTCTCTATGTGAGCCCTGTTATAGCTCTGTCTAAAAGAGTTTGTGATGCTGAAATATTTTCCCTCTTCTCAGTGAGCCTATTAATTTTGGATCTATTTATAATTTGACTTAGATTCCCACAGATGAAGATTTTAGTCTTCCGGAAGGCGATGAAGATCTGGCAAAAGCTTTACACACAATGCATGAACAGACTATTGATGCCCAAATTATGGTAAATATCTTATATATCATGATATATGCTATGCTAATTTGCATGAGTTCAAAATAAATAAAGTAATAAAATAATATGAAATATTTTTTTATAATTGACTTGAGAAAATAATCAGTTTGTATGAGTTCAACTATTAGACTGGGTCAGATTGCCTAAGACATTGGCATATGGATATTTGATATTGCCCCCTTTTTTCTTCAGATGTCTGAATTGAAGTCTCATTCATCATCTTCAGGCTTCTGTCTCCGGCTCTGTGCTTCTCAGAGTGATGTGAGATTGCAGCTGCTTCTTCCTTTTAACTGCTAGTGGGGGTGGGACTTGATTGGGTGGGGGCTTGGCTGTGTTCTGATTGGGTGGGGGTGTGTTCTCATTGGTAGGGGGTTTGGCTGTGTTCTGATTGGTTGGGGGG